CAGAGACGAGACGAGTTCCCCCCTGACAAGTGTGGAGAACCCAGAGAGAGAGAGATTTTTCCCCCTGATAAAAGACTCAATTCAGATTTAAGGGCGAAACACATGATTTGTTGTTTCAAGAAAGACTCAATTCAGATTTAAGGGCGAAAAACATGATTTGTTGTTTCAAGAAAGACTCAATTCAGATTTAAGGGCGAAACACATGATTTGTTGTTTCAAGAAAGACTCAATTCAGATTTAAGGGCGAAACACATGATTTGTTGTTTCAAGAAAGACTCAATTCAGATTTAAGGGCGAAACACATGATTTGTTGTTTCAAGAAAGACTCAATTCAGATTTAAGGGCGAAACACATGATTTGTTGTTTCAAGAAAGACTCAATTCAGATTTAAGGGCGAAAAACATGATTTGTTGTTTCAAGAAAGACTCAATTCAGATTTAAGGGCGAAAAACATGATTTGTTGTTTCAAGAAAGACTCAATTCAGATTTAAGGGCGAAACACATGATTTGTTGTTTCAAGAAAGACTCAATTCAGATTTAAGGGCGAAAAACATTTGTATTTGAATGTCGTTGTAAATGTTGCCACTCTTTGTGTGTTGTATATATATAATGTTGTATGGTTTCACAGTTGTAATTTAATGTAATAATTTGGGTGTCTGACTCTTCCATGCATTAATCACCGTGACGTATTTGATTATTCCTATCTTTGTTGTGTTTTTTACATTGCTGAAACCTAATACATGAAAAAAATATAGTTTGATCATCGAAAGGAATTTTCAGCTCTCTATATGTAGTATACAAATATCTTTTAACTTCAATGTTTATTCATTTGATACAACAAAGATAATTTCGGTCCAGCATTACATGGATTAACAATAAACAAAAGCGTGATGCATGTATAACTGCATTAATTATTTTATCATTTGAAACAAAGACGGCATGATCGTACATTAGATAATGAAAAACGAGACATTTGCCGTTTCCTTGCATGATATAAACACTAAAATAGCGACTAGAATAGCAATGAGACCGCGAATGCGAAGGTTCTGTGTCTTCAATCAATTATAATAAATTAAAATTATATCATACGACCGCTGCTAAGTAACGGTGGTTATTTTATAAACAGGTCATTATATTTGTCAACGATACAACAATGTGCTGTTTCTGTCCTCTTTTCATGTAACAAACAGCGGATTACCACGTGATGACTGGAACTAACCCTCATTCCAGATATTTAATTGAGGTTACCCGTTGCGTAATAAATAAATAAAATAATAAAAAAATAACGTCTGTGACTAATTATATCTAAGAAATACCTAAGAAATCATACGTACCACCCAGATCGAGGTTGTAAATTGTACATGCATAATATTTGTCCTTATATAGATTGAAATTACAACTAAATCGCTTTGTTAGTTTGGCTGACAACTCGTTTGTACATTCAAATCTCGTCCAAAGAGTCACTGAACTCCGCCATGCTCGTACAATAAGTTATCCACTAACAAATCGTGACGGAAGTGACGCAGTGATTAATTGCAGTGGGGAAAGATACATGTTTTCCCGCCAGTGAATAATAAACTCTAAATAAAGGTCGTGACCCCGTGCTTTTTTCAGACTGCTTGGCAGAATTCGTAGTTTGTTGACATATATTTGCGGTTAACAACAACCAACAGTGTATCCTGCGTCTGTATCGTGTTGGAACCAGCACACGTCCAGCGACACAATAATGTTGCAATCAAATCGGACACGGTTGATACAAAGGTAGACAACAAGTTATATATATATACTATTGAATTGCACATGATATGACCATGTGATATTAAGAAGTGACGGTACATATTTTGATATTTAATTAGACATTCAATCAAATCATCACATTCCTACAATCTTAGCAGATTCAACTAACAATTTTACCACGGCACGACCACATCATGATGATGTTATACCACTACGGTATCTTTGCAATGTCAAACGGAAATGACGAATTCAACTAGAGCATAACTGTTCTTTACTTTTAACATTCAAAATTTATTTATATACTTCAATAGTCCCCTCGACGTTGATGAGGGCGGGTGTTTTTTTGCTTTTTTTTTTTTTTTTGGTAAATGAGAATGTAAATTTTCCTAACCTAGCGTACACATGACACAATGTCACTATCATGATGTAAATTATTGTCTTGATATCCGCATTTTGTCTTTACTTGCGACTTTTAATTAAGAAATTTAGTCACAGAAAGGTCAGTCGTGATTTTATTCAGCGTCGTATTTGCAGTTAAATCGCTTTACGACCAGACACGTACGTTTGAATAGCATTCATATTATGTTTCACTTTAAATTCAATTCAATATCGCACCTCGCACAGGTATGCACTGCACGTATTGTATTATTCTGCTATATGAGCATTCACCGCCCTGATTAGTTCTCTCTATTTTTATGCAGCCAGTACAATAAAAAGTAGTATGCGTATGATTGTAATAACGTTTCTAACTGGATGAATATTTATATGATATGTAAACAAAACATGAAAAGGTGGCGTTGAAGTTAAATATCAACAGGGCCTGAGTCACAGGTCAAGCCGTACATGCTTGAAGTCACATGCACATCGTGTGAACTCCTGAACTGGTGGCTCTATAATTCACATTTCGACTAATCGCATACGGTTCTGTATGATGATAAGATCGATCGACCGATCGTCTGAATAATATTGGTAACCTCGTTTCTATTTCTATAGCATGGGCATGATTGAAGAATTCCTATCAGTGGATCGAATTGAGACGTTACAATACATGTGTATTGTTGTTATCATAATCGTGTCAGTGAAACTTCTTGAAGGTAATGTCCGACTTTAATCTCCATTATGACTATTTTAAACTGATTTTCTCGAAATACATACTCGAAATAGAGATAAATTGATTTGTTAACCGTAAGTGGCGTTTATGACAACAGCGCCACCAACACATTGGCGTTGACCTTGCAATTCACTTGTTTTGTTTGTTTTCGTAGATAGTATTTTCGATTTCTTGGTACGAGCGTGGGCAAGAATTTTGGAATATCCCAGATTATTCGGACTACAAGTTGTAATGGCGGTACTGCTTTTCTCCGGTGGAGCTCGAAGTAAGTAATATGGCCCGTGGAAGTCGACTATAATTGTTTCAGTTTATATATCGGAATAAACAAATTAATTAAAGCATAATTCCCGGATTATTTGTTTTGATGAGCGTAAATCATATTCTGGCATTATTCCAAATACTCCCAGGATGCAATATATAATTCCATTTCCTCTTCTGAACGAGAACGAGACAACGAGAAGGGTAAAATCATCGTCTATTATATTGAAATATTTTTGATGTGCTATAAATCCGTGTTAAATGACACTTAAATGAGTCAACTTAATATAATTAATAACCAATAGCAAATCAATTGTATTAAAAGATGGGACCGCGCGGTCACTTTGAAACTGGAGTGCTCCCTACAGGCCTGGAATCACATGAGCTGTATGAGCAGACAAGCTTCGTTGAATGACAGTACATGGAATTCCATGGTCAGAATAATCTCTGCTTAGATATTCTTTTCCCACATCTAACGTGTAGTCAATAAATATTTCTATAACAATATGGATATGTTTGACAATCCTATGTACAGTGTACAGAGATTTCGTGAAAGGATGGGTTTTTGTAGGTGTGTTCAGAAGTCAATACTTATGGCTCCGACATTTCAATGACGGTTAATGCAAATATTCTCATAACTCCATCTACGTGGCTCGCAATATATTCAGGATAATACCTAAATATAGATTTGGACATTCAATAAAAATGTTTGGGTCTTTAACAAAATCTGGGACGCGTGTACTCTTCAATATGTTTGTCAAGATGTGCCACCAAGTAAGCGCGTGGTGGCGCCATTTAATAAAAGTACTGTAAACGCTTAAGTTGGTTTTATACGCTACTTTCATTGACAAGTAAAATTCGCCAAATCCATTTAAATATGTAGAAACAATATAACTACAGTTGTAAAAGTTCGTGAACTTTGAACCTAGTGAAATCGCTCAAATCTTAAAGGTTCTCACTGACAAAATGTGGGTTATTCTGAGTCGGGTGACCCCGGGAACGTCTGTCTTCGACAACGGGATTGATGGTGAGGGGGAATTCGCTCACTCTATACTTACTTATGACATGGAAGGTAGTAGGATAGGAGAGAGGACGGATTTCAATCCGATTCTCTTGTTTCAAGCCTTATCGCTAGTGTATTTATTTTTTCTTACAACCCATCATCGCTTCCGCTTATTTACTGAACAAAACGAGTTGGACTCACGATTTTTGAAACTGAAATGTTTTTGACTGCAACTTGCTATGCGCATGAGAAAAGAGGTGGCGGTATACATGAGCAGAACGTTCCACATGACGTCATAGTTCATTGGCAAGACATGACATCATAGGTTATTGGCAAGACATGACATCATAGGTCATCGGCAAGACTTGACAATGGGAACACAATACTTGTTAGTTGTTTTCCAGTGTCAGTAGACGGTTGACTGCTCCGTTCCTGTAGTAAAATTGTTTCAGTTTGAAAACGAAAAAAAAAAGTCGATTACAGGTGCACTGCTCTCCGAGTGCTAATTATTTAAGTACTCATATTATAGGAATGTGTAGCAAGTAAAGACATCGAAGCAATCATGGATCATTTCCCTGTCTCTTTGTATAACCAGGGAGCTGTAATGATTACAGCTCCCTGGTATAACCATGGAGGTAGAAAAGCGACCTCCATGGTATAATTTATAACCACGGTTACTAGAAGAATAACCGTCGTATAATTAAAAGTAGACCACTTTTTATAGGGAGACTCCCTTGATGCAAGCTGTATTGACGCCAAGGCGTTGCGTCACTGGTACTCACAATAGTACGCGTGGTGTTACGTCACTAATAGCTACCCACATGTCACATGGGTGTTAAAAGCGTCCGCCTAATATAATGTGTATTGTCTTAGAACCCACGCTTGCGCGAGTATTGTAAAGGACTGTTTGGTATTGTTTTCTAAGCAAGCGGTATGCGTGGGAATTCTAACAAGTTTCACAGGATGTGAACGACTTGCATATTATTCATGTACTTGTACAATCTGCGGCTGTTCAAAACCAATCGTGTCAGGAGACTGTATGCTCATGACAATAGACAAAATATGGCACACGTGAATCTCAGATAACGCTGTTTCAAACACACTTGAACGTCATTTACTATGAACTTGGAATAACATGAACAAATATATTTTGTTATTAGCAATTAATATTTCAAAAAATAACTGAAAAACAAAATTGAAGTTATTAAGTGGAACGAGTGTGGTTTAAAACACGCGTGGCAGCCATTTGGTCAGCTCAATGTTGCCAAATCTGACATAATTAAAAGTCGGACTTTTGTATAATATATAGTTTAAAACTCAATAGTTGAACATTTTGCATACTGAATATGAAAAAAGTTAACAAAATAATAAGCATATTTACGTCACGTGTTACTATTCATAACTCATTTAGTCGTTATTTAAGACGGAATGTTTCCAATTGTAATGTGTTATACTCACTAAATCATTAATATCCACCAAGCTCCATGCATCCAGTCTTCGTTGTGAAATACTTAGTGTTATCTGTGTTAATTTAAGATATTATATTATATACATAATAAAATATATCAACATATTACATGATTCTCTTTGCAGTTCGGCTTAGTCTTCCGTTCTTTTTATCATTTTGTTCATTATGGTTTTATAACCCCGGAGAAGTAAGCGAATGCATCAACGTGCAAGAATGTGAATCTGGTAATGATGCAACCTATTCTGTTGTTGTTGCAGGTTTTTTGCAAAACATCTTTCCTGCAGTGTTTGACGGTTCTATGTATACGGTTAAGAACGCTATGGCGGGGGGAATCGCACTGTACATTGTTATGATGTTACGGGAGGTCATGTCCCAGGTACAACACAGCGAACAGGGTAAGAGAGAACATTTTATGATCGAATTCGAACCCATCTAAGTACGGTTCAATAAAAAATGTGGCTTTGTTTCAGTTATCAATTTATAAAAAATGACAGATTATTTTATGTGGGGTCTAGATCTTGCAATGAATTGTTCTTTTTCTAAAGATGCAATAAAATGGTACTGTTAATGCGATACCGCTGAAATTTCCATAATTGAACCTTGGTGTCCCTCTATAACGACATCTACTGAATAATGAAGATTCAATGATGTGATATTTAGAACAACTATTTTGTAATACCTCAACATTGAACTCAAGACAACCGTTCGAAAAGTGTTTGAACTCAAATTAAATAAATATCTCCAAACTCTTTTGACAGAAAGCCAAAAACAACCCCTGTCACAGGCATCGGTAGATTTGGAAAGATGGCTCCTACATGAGAAGGACAAAAGAGAGAAGATATTCCTAAGAAAAAGGGTGTTAACGGAGCACCTGATTGATTTAACACTCTTACAGACAATACGTGACAATGGTTCGTTGACGCAACAGGTACTGTCAGCAATGGCGGACATTTTCGAGAAAGAAATCAAGGACAAAGATGATCGTCGTGAACTGGCCTTGTACCTGATCTCAAACAATGCGGCAGTGATCGAACAAAAAGTGTTACATCCCCACCTTTCAAAGACAGATAAGACGGACAGGTGGCCGCTATTTCGTGAACTGTGTCGCAGTGTTCGAATCCCTTGCTGTGAATGCGACGATTTCGCTATCAGCGTTTACCACTCGGGACTATGTGGCGATATAGTGCGAATACTAGAGAACGATTATTTAATGAACAATTACGAAAACGATAAGGTGAGCCACTACATTATTGGCAGTTGATGTCAAATAGTAGTCAAGAGCAAGTACACACGTACTGAGACACAAAGCATTCTTCTGAACTTGAAGATAAAAAGTATGTTTTAAGTTCCATGTTATGAATAATGCCGAGTACCTAACTCACACAAATGTCGAGTATAGGTATATCGAGCATTGAAGACAATGTCCAAAATGTTGATACCCCTGAACAAACAGTTTAAGTCAGCCAGCTACACACTGGCACATGAAGCTCTATGCTACATACAAACTTAACCAACCAACCAATCAACATATAATTCTGTACACATACAGTAGTGGGTGATATGTTTACTGATATGTTATATTCAAAAAACTATTCGCATAATAGCAACAGAGCATCCTGGGTATTTTCTAGTTAACTGATTATTAACTCCAAAATGACGAGTGGCTAAACAACTTTAAATTTGCCCTTCATCCACCCTTCAACAATTTCTAACACACATAATCAAAATTGTGAGTGAAAGTATTGTAGTTTGGGTGTTATTGAAGACATAATTTTAGTTGTTTGTGACTATTAAAATGGGTAATTTGTGAGACAGGCAGAGGAACAAAGAATTTCACATTTTGCTCTGTTTTTCAAGTAACTCGATCTTTTAACTTTTTTCTGCCGTTGTTATGTCCATACAATTATCACCTTGCTCGTATGTGTATAAAATATTGTGATCTCTTGTTGAAAGTCAGGTAATGAGTTTTTTTGTGCACTTATCGAATGTTTGGCAGTGGTCTTTACATGTATGTTTTGTTATTTGGCGCGCTTCCGTGAAATCAAAATGATTTAATGTCGTTCGAGTAATCAAATTGTTTGGTTGTTTATCGTTCGTTTTTTTTTTGGAATATATCTCTCTAAAAAAACAATATCTTTCATTGACGGGCGACCATGGATCAAAATGACATAAACGTTGCGAACATAGTTCCATCTTTGTTTCATCGCCAGGGGGCGCCATCTGTGGGAACGGTGTTTTGGATGAGATAGCTACGATTAGAAGTATATACAAGTGGTGAGTTTCATACTGGCAATGCAGGAAATAGCGAGAAATAGTAACAGAAGTGGTGATTGAATAGAAACGTGAAAAACGATTTAAATTGATATTAAAATGTATATTCACGAATTTGTCCATTGCAGATACTACTTGATCTCGTGGGACTGGGACTATTGATCTGCACGGTCTGCTCAGGCAACATATCACCCGCTACCGAGGGTGAAACAAAAACATTGAGAGACATAACAACCTTCTATCTGTTATCCAACGTAGAAAAAGTAAAACAAGCAGCTACTATGCTTTCACAGATTGTTGAAGCCGCAGAGAAGGAGAAAGAGGGAACAAAACGAAGAAGAAAGAAATCCAGCAAGGTGATGCACGATAATGACGCGAATAAAGAGAAACCCGATAAAACAACATCTGAGGTTAATTCCAGAAAGGAACCAGTTCAGCGAATGATACAGAGAGAAAGCATACACAGCAATCAAGACAATGAGACAAGGAAAAACACGGATTCAAAACCGCTAAAAGTCTTTACACAAAGGCAAGTCAGTACGGTGACAACGAAAGACACCAGGCATGCATCAAACGCGAAAATTATCGAAGCATCGGGAGTCGTTACAAACCAGTCCGATGTGACCGAGAACAACACAAACACAATCACTAAGGTATCGTCAAATGAAGATAATACCAGTGAAAACCACGTGCAACTTGTAAGACGCGACTCAAAGAGACACTCACTATTGAGAAAACTAAGTTTTTCAAAGGGTAAAAAATCGTAAGCAGTCATCTGAAATTAACTTTTATATACACCACGTTAGTCAGATTATGTACTACAACATTACATTAAGACCCCCCCCCCCCAAGACGGACGGTCGTAATGTATATCCCGGAGACTATTAGTACTTTTATGAAGTAGATCATTATAATAACAATGCCTAAATGCACAACGCCTTAATCCTCGATGAAGTCACGCTCTAGGGAGCTGTACATTTCTATTGGGGTCGCGTACTGTACGTACGCGACCTTCTCAACACCCTGGGCTGCACAAAACCAGGCTGTCACACAGGCACAAAACTAAGTTATGAGACACCATGTATAATGTTCATACCAAGTTTAAATAAAATCGGTTGATGAAACATTGAAATTTTGCGTTTTGTGTATGTTTTTAGTCAAATGATCGTCAGTCGAACTTGAATGTCACCTGATCCGAATTCACGGACACGTATTTCCAAGGACAAGGATCACAAAAATACAAAATACAGAGGCGACAATATTTAATGAGATTTCATATTAATAAACAACAACACTCGTACATCAGCGGATACCTTATTCCTAAAGCACGACAAACAAGTGTGTTTGTATGTGTATGTTTTTGCGCAATTGCACAATACGTGTATCATAGAATCGGGGAAAACTGCGTGTGGTAGTGTCATAGAAATTAGTCTAAACGTGTTCAATCGTCGATAGCGCTGAAGCCATTTAAAAACTTGGGTTTGGTGGTAAGAAAAATCGTCGAGGTTGAACCCATTGAGGTGAACATAAAAGCCAAATATTTGATTAATTTCGTCCTGTATATTTACTATACCAGACACAAAACACTCGATATGCTCCGTGTGGTGGAACAGTACAGTGGGCCAAAGTACTCTCACTTAAAGCCGAATCTAAAATTAACCGACACGAATACTGATTTTGTCGACGCATTGTATATCTGAGTTTGTTTGTTTGTTCGTTACTGAAGCCAAGAGGACGTGACATCCGATCTTTCCCAGGCACCACACTATGTTTGAATACAGGCATTCATTCCACCATGGCACCCTTCCATGGTTCTATTAACTGCAATTGTAACATGGTATACAATTATCTTTCATTGTTTTCATTTATGGGCCTTCATTGTAACAACTATTTTTCTTATTTTATATGATATTGTCACCATATTTTGTTCATGATAAGAACTATGCCATATTGTAACTATAATTAAGCCTTTTTTATTTACTTTGAGTAAATATGTATTGATACCATTCATATGATGTATTAAAGAACGACGGTTGTTCCATTCGACGTATACAATGATAAGTCAAATTGTTAAAAATGTTAATTAAACTTGTACTGTCCCAGATACAGAACAGGGGTGTCAACTAGAATGATTGACACACTCGTACTGTTCTTGGTATTGTCCCAGGGTCGCAGTACGAATTATGTAATAAAAGGAGTCTACCGTATATAAAGAGCTCATCTCAGGCGAGTGTACAGTATTGTTTGGTTCACCAAAGCAGTCACTCGTCAGCAAAACCATGGATTCCAAGGGAAGCACGATGCAGCCTGGTAAGTTGTATTTCACAGATTTCTTGTAAAAATGTAAACGCACGTTCTAAAAGACACCATCATTTTACATGCATATGTTTATCCAGAAACAGTAGTTATTATCACAAATAGTTTTTAATGTAAAACGAATAATTCATCCCAAGCATACACATAATGCAATTTTACTGACATTAGACACACTTTAAATCACTGTTAATCGCAGTTCTTCTATAAATGTACTGTGTGTTGTCATTCCTTCAATTCGCCGTTGTTTGGATTGGGTATCGTCTTTTGGAGACGATAGCACTTCAATAAGCCCGTAGTTTCAACGTTTGTTTCGCTGTTACCTTTATCACTGATGTGTCGAGTGAAAATCAGGTTCATTTATTGTAACCCAAAGACTAGATTCATTATAATTAAGAAAGTACAGTTAATTTAGAATCACGAATTCGCAGACCAGTGGTTAAATGGGCGCGGCTCAGGAAAGCGTGACTTTCTCGTCTCGTCTTGGTATGTGGGAATGACAGTGCTAAACGCATTTACTATGCATGAGTGCGTACGTTTAACTGAAATGCGACGAGCGTTCACGTGATAAACTCCGAATTTTATTTGGTTGTTTCTATTGTATTCAATTATGCTCATCGCAAGCTAACCGCGTTTCGGTACCTGATGAATACCATAAAATAGCATCGATCTCTCGTAAAAACGCTCGGTCTGTGTCTCGTTCTAAAACAAGCGCTGTTTGGTCATTTGTTTTTCATGACGAATCCTCATGAACATGATTATGTAGCACTGTATATTCATGAATTTTTGTACCCGTATTACCTCATTCCAAATTATGCACTGTGAATCGATCCTTGTGGGAACCACATGAACTACAAAGTGATTATTAGGTGTGTCAGTTTGGAGCTATATCAACACCACGTCAGCCAAGGATGTTGATTCTATTATATTCAGCAATGTGAACACTTACACTTCTATTGATTTCCACCATGCCACTTATTATAGTGCTATCCTCAATTCGTCACGGTACAAGTTATTTAACATCCTTACGAGAGTCACCGATAATTCCAATATTGTCGTTGATCACGTGCTTACAAATGCAACTGTCAATTTTATACTAAGCGGAAGCATTCACGCAGATATTAGTGAAATTGTTCATTTTTGGTTTTACATTTAAATATTTGTGTCTTCAAATGTGGCTATATTAATTATGACCATGGCAGCCAGTGTATGGCCCCTCCAACCCTAATGATGTTTATACATTTTTTGTTGTTTTTGAAAGCATTTGCAGGTCAAATTAAACATCCATCTCAAACCAGGATGTCCAAATATCTCAATAAGTCACCAGAATAACGCGGTAACATACATTAGTGTGACGAGACACTCGGCGAAACGCCAAATGAAACATTTTTTTTATTTTCTTTATTCCGCACTATATGGCCACCGGCCTAAAGTACTATTACATTTCAAAACTTAAATTACACACGGTCGCTTTAAAATTACAAGATACATATACTTCAAATCATACTTCCATTTCAGTTTCTCTGTAATGAAAACTCTTAAACAAATATTTACCCAAACTTAGTAAAATATACGAGTTAGTACTCTGTAGCAATGCAATGAAATTCATCTTGGTTGGTGGTGAAAAATAATATTTTGGTAAGAATTTTTGTCTAAGTGCTTCATATTTTGGACAAACCATAGTAAAATGATATTCGTCCTCTGTGACCCTGCAACCAAATGGACATAATTTTTGGTCACGTGGAATACCCAATGTTCTACCATTTTCATTTCTAGGG